TTTATAGTTGTTCAGTGATACCAGCTAGAATGGAGTTGAAGCTCATTCTGTAAAACACTTTAAAAAATCTTTGGCTGAATCAAACTGAAATAGAGATTATGATGAATAGTCACCCACATGATTATAGCGTGATCTCTATCTGCTGACTGAATCATTCTATCATGGGCCAGTTGGTTAGTGTGTTCCATTCATCTTGCATGTCATCACCAGCATATGTAATGGGAAAGGACAATGGCATGGCATTAACAGTATAAACTAAACAAACAACCAGAAACAGATCCTGATTCATGCTCAATCATCAAGGTATGACAATCCAACAAAGTTAAGTCAGGTCCTCTGGACAGTTTCAAATTTTTTTTTTTTTTTTTTTTTTTTTTTTGTTAAGGAGCCATCCAGAGCATCTGACTTAACTTTGTTGGAATCAGAAAATGGGTTTCTTTAGTTATTTTTCATTGTTAGACTACATGTCCTTGGACTATCCTAATTATTTCCTGCCTCTTATGTAAAAATCTGTTTGTTTGTTTATTATTGTTTGTTAGCAAAATATCATATGAACTGGTCAATTAATTTTAATGAAGCACTCAAAGTAATGAGAAGTTGTGCATCTAACCTAAATCAAGATGGCTGCCATAGCTAATGCACATTAGCAAACACACAAATGTCTCATTTTAAGTCGTTTTTACAGATCTTAAACTCTAATAATGGTGCTAAAGGAGTGTACTTGGAGTACACAATTTCGTTCCACCTCATGTACCACGTGTGATGCGAATGACAAAGAAACTTGAACTTGAATTTGAAAATGTGTCTCTACCACATACTCTTAAGTGCCAATAGATTGTGCAAGATCTCTTGTTTAAACTTTGGCATCTAATGCTTGCAGGCAATATGCATTCTGAGATGGGGTAGATGTAGGGCAGCCGACTTGGGACCTGAAAGTCCCAGGTTCGCTCTCCAGCCATTCCCACGTGTCGTGGTTTCTGAGCAAGACACCTTATCCCTAATTGCTCCCCGGACACATACATAGCTGCCCACCGCTCCACCTGGGTGCATCCCAGGTGTGATGGGCTAAATGCAGAGAAACAATTTTGCCATTGTATGGGAACATAGTGATGACGGCACGTAGCACTTACACTTGTTGGTTTTGTTATACAACTAAATTAAATTTGTCTTGCATTTTTAATTAAAAGTACTTTACAAGAGAAATTGTGACAAACCGCATAGCATGTTGCATGTTATTAAAAAAAATCTCACAAATGGAACACTTAAACTGGATACAACCAAGGTCAAATAACTACAGCATGCATTCTGAGCTGAAAAAAACGGATACAAAATAAACGGCTTTGCGACAATGGAGAGCTTATATAAAAATTAAAAGTACCCACACAATATCAAGATGCTTTTCAAATAATCGTAACATTTTTTTTTTTTTTTTGTAGAGACTAACAGCAGTTAAGAGAAAGCTGTTCCATAAATGTTCAGGTCTTTGGAAGAAGAAATATGGTGACTGTAAGAAATATAAAATACAACTCAGAACCTCAGAAACCTTGAGATGAACTTGGTTCATAAGGGAACACATTTCTGTCAGAGCAACTGGGAGGTGGGAAGAATGGCAAAGGTGAAAGGTGTTCCCATACAATTAGAATTTTAATGAAAATAATTGGTAGCAAAAAGAGTTTTTACAGTTAGTATGGTAAAAGAAAACCTTAGTGGGTTAATTAACAGCACAGGAAGTAAGTATGTGTTTGGCCCATACAAATGTTTTGCATTGGGCATCTTCATGTATGTGCATGTTTATTTTCCTTCCTGACTCGTGTACAGTCTATGCTTTGAGCTGCATGCCAATGTCTGCAGAGAGCTCCAAGTAGACCCTTGCAAATGAGAGCAGATGGTAAAATTTACTCGACGTAAAGCAAGCAGGATGCCTGCAGCCACTCTGACACTCGGATCATAAACTGGCCTCGCTGCGGCCTCTTTACTTCTGCAGAGCCGCTGTCTCCTACCTCTTGGGAATTGGACACTTTTTGACCTCAATGTGTTTGTTTCTTTATAGCTAGGTTTCTAGATTTAACACAAGATGGATTTTTTTTAATCTATTTAAAAAACATATTTTGTAAGTTACGTTAGTGCCAAATCAGTCTGGCTCATGCTGACACCATGTAGCACATGATGCACACCAACGTTCATATTCAACCTGAGCAGTACGGAACCCTGTCTTCTTAGATTAATAGAAAACTGGAGCGGAAGGAAAGTGAATGAGCGGAGACACATTTATTGTGCTTTTCTAGTGAAAAAGCCCTACAGGACTGAACTGGCTTAACCAAATTTGTTGAGCATATAGATTCAATACACAGACCCCAATAACCAACACAAAGTTTTTGAAGTGCTAAGTTAAAGATTGTACCTGAAAGAAAGTCTTCTTTTATCAACACTTTTTCAAAATGCGTTCTTTATAAAAGCAAAGTTTACATTCTTTATCTTACCATTGGCTGGGGTCAAAAGAAATACCACAAATGGGTTTTATGAAGAATATACTACTCATCAGCCCATTCATCTTGCAGAGTATCATCTGTTTAATGATTCAGAACACCATTATACCACTCCACTCAATGCATGTGCCCATTCAGACCCCTTAAATGTCCACAGGATGTAAAGTGGAAATGTGTGTCACAAGATGATGTGAAAAGTCGTCTGGTTTAGTGAGGCAGTTAATTAGGATTTAGTGATTCGGCAGAGAGTGTATGGATTCAGAGTAGCTTCATTTGTATGTTGCTTACTTTTAATTAGCACTTTTCAGGGTAAAAGAATTCAGATTGATTGACAAGCTAACAGCTAGTCTGAGCACCAGATTAGCTCAACAGCAAATTTGCAAATTCACATTAAAAAGTTGTTTTAAAAATCTGTGTAATTCAAAATGTACAACAAAATAAATGTTATATAATGGCATTTTGAAGTTGTTTTAAAATAGCAGCCATTCTACTTTAGTTTGAACTCATTATCTTGTTGTTCTTGTCTGAACTGAGCTACTTACAACAGATAAGATAACTAGCTTTCAATTATTATTTATTTTTAATGTATGTTTAAGTAAAAATTTGTTAAACTTATCTGTGTCAGTTTAGGTCTTTAACAAGCCTAGACCTTGTAGATATTGTTTGAACATTATACTGAAAAGACGAATCTTGGCTGCTCATCTCAATATTTTTTTAGTTTCTTATTATTTCCTGCTGCCATGAATGATGAGCAACATTGTAATTGCCACTGTGTGTGCATTTGTTTGTCTGGTAGCAATATATCTCATGAACAGGTGAATGCATATTAATGAAAATCTCAAAGTAATGTTTGGATGTAGATCAACAGTTTGCAGCGTTAAGCTGATTCCAGATGGCCACTAAGACTTATTAACCTTGTCAAACAAAAACATGTCAATAACTGTATTTTTTACTAATTTTAAGCTAAAAATATGGTGTGCTAGTAGCTGACAGTCTTCCCCAAATCATGTCAAGCGCTTAAAGATTGCATAATGTGTCTAACAAGGTTGAGTCAGGTCCTCTGGATGGATTCTTCTTTGCTGAAAGAAGAATCCATCCAGAGGACCTGACTCAACCTTGCTAGATTCATCTACCTGGATTATTGAGCATGCACCAGGTCATTGCACAATATTTAACCCTTCTCCTTGGCTAAGAACAAAAAGGACCGGACAGTTGTTCGGTGGTCCAACATCCTTTTCAGATGAATGTTAATGCTCCATTTCATTTGTAACTGAAGGTTCCCAAGTGTGGCAGAAGAGTGGTGAGGCACAGAATCAAAGCTAAATGAGGTGCAGTGTGAAGTTTCAACAGCCATGATTAGGGGAGCTATGTCATCAGCTGCTTGTGGTTCGAGTCTTATCAAGACAACGTTAACACAGCCGTCTACCAGAACATTTTAGTGTTTCACACCAAACTTTATGCTGATTTCATTTTCCAGCAGGACTTGGCACCTGCCCATAAGTACGGTACCTGCTTTAATGGCCATGGTATCGGTGTGATGGAGTGACCAGAAACTCCACCTGACCTAAGCCCATCTAAGGGATTTTGTCAAGAGGACAATGAGAGACATTGAACCCAACAATGCAGACGTTGGGTTAAAGTAACCTGAGTTTACATAACACCTCAGCAGGTCCACAGGCTAATGGCCCCCATGCCATGCCATATTGATGCAGTAAATTCATGCTAAAGGAGTCTGACCAAGTACTGTGTACATCAGTAGGCCAACATTTATTGGTCCTCTTTAATATTCTGATTTTTCTGAGAAACATAATGTTGAGTTTTCATCAGTCGTAAGCCATATTAATCAAAATGAACAAAAGCAAATACTTGAAACACATCACACTGTGTGGAATGACTTTATATACAGTAACGAGTTTCACTTTTTCCATTTACTCACTGTAATAATTAATCTTTTAAATTATATCATTTGAGATGTGCCTGTCTGTATAAATAATCAAAAAATGCTGGGTCACTTTTATATTAAGCATATCTTCATTAGTTCTTTATTTTGTTTTATCTATATTTGTTTCTCATGCTCCCACTCAGCACATTTGATCAAATATTTTTTAACAGTTGTTTAGAAGATGACCTGAAATGTGTAATTATATTTCCTGAGTGCCACTATTCCATCATTCAATTCAATTCAGTTTATTTATATAGTGCCAAGTCGCAACAGAAGTCTTCTCAGGGCACTGACCAGAAACATCCATGTACATAAAATGTTAGTTGATAACATTATTTATCTGAGGAGCAGACTGCTTTGAGTCTTCATCACAAACTCTCATCCTGAGCAAGGCAACACTGGAAAGGAAAAACTCTCACGAGACTCCATTTTTATTCTCATCTATTAAAGATGAATAATATACAGTTCTAGCTTTACAGAGAGCTTTATTATATGTTAGCAGGCTATCTCTCCATGATAAATAAAATCATTGACTGTGCTGATTAAACTGGTTGATTTTTCTGGACCTACAGGATCCACTGGGCTGGCACAGAGACGGCCACACAGTGGTGCGGCTACATGAGCGGTGCCATTCAAGCGGGTCAGCGAGCAGCTCTGGAGGTGTTGGCTGAAGTCTGCCATGTGGTTCTGACCACAGAGGAGCAGGAAGCGCTGCAGCAGGGTCAAATCGTCAGGAGTCCACCGTCCAAAACCATGTGTCTGTTCACAAGAAAATCTGTGGTAATGGCAACACTGACCATGAGTGCTGTTCTCCTCCTGGCTCAACGGCCCCATGTACTGATAAAGATCAAAACTTTCTTGACAAATACCTTTTCTGCAAGCAAGCACAGTATACTGCAAAACATGTAAAAGTTTGAATGGAAAAGATTTGAATGCATAAGTTTGTACACATACAGTAAATCCTTAGTGTGTGTATTTTTCTTTTTCTCAGTAATTTTAACTGTGATTGAATTCATGATTCATCCTGAAAACCCTGGGCTTCAAAATCGACATGTATTGTTTAAACAGGTTTGCAGGGACAAAACAGAGCTTTTATGCCTTACACTGTTTCCCAGATTGCCATAAAACCTGCATGAAAGGCTTGGAGTAGAGCCACGAGCACATTTGTTCTCCCACGAAACACCAACAAATATCTGAATGAGTGCAAGACGGATGAAGCAGGATGACAATGATAACACCCTGGACTAAGTGATTTAATCAATATCACAAGATTGTGCAGTCGATTGAAAGGATTTTTGACAGCCCTTATGTCTTCTCTAGAGAGGACCTCAAAAAGCCCACTAATCATGGCATAGCTGTCTGCGCCTCAATCGGCGCCACGGCCTGCGATTTGTCTGTTATCACTGGCTTGCACTGAATCAAGTGCTTTTTTTCTCTGTGGTTTGATTTCAAGCCAATAAACTGAAACGTAGCCAACAAACTAAACGTGTTTGAAGTTTTTGCACATTTGATAACTGCTCTTTTTAACCAATGAGAAATGTTTTTAGCATTAACTCAATGTAACAATTACTGTTGACTAAATTGACCCCAATAGGAGGTTCCCTCATTGCAAACTCAAGACATCCTTGTGATTAATATACCATCTGGGAGGCTGGCAAGTCCTCATGATGGTGGCTATTTTTTAAATCATACAGTTTAATCCACCTATAGTTTCAAAGATTAAAAGTGAGCCTGTAGAAAAGTCAAATTTCTGCATGCATTAGCTGTAATGTCTGTCTTACACATGCCTCTCCTAAAGGGAAAGTTCAGATCTTTACAAGTGGTTTGTGGAAAGGTATTGTTAGCATTTTAAAATAACCCACATTTCAAAATTTTATAGAAATTCACAGAAATCTTATTTTCTATTAACTTACAGTATATTGCCATAAATGCACTGAAATGGGATTATTCTTGCAGGAGTATGATATTCCTGATGGAAGTAATTCAGGCTGCAGTAGAAAAGCTGCCACCTGCAAATGAGGCGTACAGCTTGCAGATGCACACCATTTGTTTCTGACCATAATAATCAATAAAGCACAATGTGTCTGAAGCCAAAAAGCTCAATTTGTGTCTCAGATGTCTCAGAAACCTCTATTAGAAACAATGGAGCTTGTTAAAAAGTGTTTGGGCGAATTCCCAGCTTTTTTTTGTTTTTTTGTTTATCTGTCAAAAGTGTAGCTTCTTCTATGAAGCCCGTCATGATTGAAATATAACAAATGGGATGATAAGAAAGTGACTTACACTGACCTTAAAGTTCAGCTTGAATGGTTATGGATGATGTCCTTGGCTTTTTTCTGCAATCTACATTGTCAACTGATCAACCTGGGGTTGCATGTCCTCTTGCGTTCACATCTAAGGTGGTTGAACAGTCCCATGAATGTTGTGCTTTTTATTCATAATCCATCCAGTATCTTCCACTTTTTCCGAAGTCAGGTTCCAGGGGCAGCAGCTTGAGCAGGGAGGCTCAGACATCTCTTTCTTTAGCCACCTCTTCCAGGTCTTCTGGGAGGACCCCAAGGTGTTCCCAGGCCAACCGAGAGACGTCTCCTGGGTCTTCCTCGAGGTCTCCTCCCAGTCAGATATGCCCAAACCACCTTGAACCACCTGACCTACACAAGGCGAGGTCAGTGAACAAGGCCAGTCTGATTCTGGCAGATCCTGATCACCCGCTCCATGGTAAGTTCAGGTTGCTTCCATCTGGACGTAGGTATCTGCAGCCCAGATGTAGGATGAACAGACTAAAAAAGCTCATTCATCCCTGTAGCTATCAGGCTTCTCAACAAACGATGATTTCTGTACTATTATTTTAATGTCTTGTCTAGTATGGATGTTTTGGTGCCTACTGACTGTGAAACAAATTGCCCCTTGGGGATGGTAAAGATTCTTGAACTTGAACCTCAACTGGCTTCTCTTGATATGGAGGAGCAGTGGTTCTACTCAGTCTCTCCCAGACAAGACCTTCTCACCCTAGCTGTAAGGGAGAGTCTAGCCTTGCGAAGTAAACCGTTCCACTGTATCCACGATCTCATTATTTCAGTCACTACCCAGAGTTCATTGCCATAGGTGAGGGTAGGAGCGTAGACTGACCAGTAAATGGGGATCTTTATCTTGCAGCTCAGCTCCCTCTTCACCACAATGGACCGGCACGGAGTCTGCAATACTGCAGATGCTGCACCAATCTGTCGTTCACACATTCCATTCTTGCCTCACTCATGAACAAAACCCCAAGATACTTGAACTCCTCCACTTGAGGCAGAACCTCACCTTGGACCCCAAGAGAGCAATCCACCCTTTTCCAGCTTGAGGACCACAATCTTAGATTTGTACCTTTTTGTTTGTATTCATGTATAGCGGTGGTAAAGGGAACATGGTGCTACCAGGAGATGGTCTTGTATCTCTAACAAGGCTGAGTTGAGTCCTTTGGACGGGGTCTTCTTTGTTGAAATGTTTTTTTCTTTTGTCCAAAAGACTTGTTCAGTCTGAGGAGCTGCAACAAACTCAATCTAATAAATAGCACTTTTGCATAATGATGATCTCTGATATCTGTAATCTTCTTTCTGAGCTCCTCAGACAGCGATCTAATGGCTAGTCTAAGTTGGGCCAATGGTGGCACCCTTGGCTCAACTTAGACTAGCCATTAGCTTGTCAAACCATCAAAATAAACTCTCTATCTAAACTGATGCTGTTCAAAGAGCTGTCTACAACAGATAAGATGTTGATTGTTTGTAACCTTTCCACAGAACTCTGCTCCAAAACAACTGAGCTGCATTTAAAGTTTTATATGACAGCAGTTTTAGCCCTTTTTACGTAATAACGCCTAAAGGAATAAAGGAAAAAATACTTTCCTAGAAATAAGCAGTTGAATTTCTGTAAACCACAATAAATTAAATAAAATCTGAGTTTAAAAGTTATTTTTTTAGACTTTATAGCTTTGCTCATTTCATTGTGGAAGGAAGCACAATAACATCGCCACCATAGCCCCAAGTCCTAAAAATACAGAGAAAGATCTGAGGTTTCATCTTCCAGTGAGATTGTTCCGTTGATACTTTGATGCTCCGCAGATTGGGAGAAAATGCAATTATGAATTTTTCATACCGTGACAGTTTTAGAGTGCAAGATATGCTGCATTAGTTAGAAACAAAGGAGACAGTTTAGCATTTTCTGCACCCACACTCCACCCAGCTGCGTGTGTTTTCGTGTCCGGTGAAAGATCTCCGGTAAAGTCTCCAAGTAATGTTGCTGTAATTACTGTAGGCTCTGTAAACAACTGCCAAAGTACTCGTGTTCATGTTTGCCTTCAGGCAGCAGCACCGACTTTAAAAATTCATACTTTGCGGCGCAGCGTAATGAGTGTTTGTGATCATAAACAACTCATTTTACAGAGCTACATTAGAACCCATTTCCTTAGGTTCGTATTATATTGATATATATTGTTCTGAAACATGAACTGAGTTTTGTTTTGCAATCTTTCCAAAATGGATAAAATGCCTTTAAGTTTTTTTTCTTTAAGTCCAGCAAGCCTATAAACGGTCCAATTTATTTTGTTATGAAAACATATTCTCATTTAAATCACTTAATGTGGGGAAAAATGTCCCCAAAGGTTGTTTTAGGTGAAGTCCTATTGAGTCCTATTAAGATAATAGCGCCGTGCTGAAACACGCTTAGGAACTTCAGTTCCGCATAATCTCGTTAATAAAATTTAATTAATGAAAAAATAATCGAAGCGCTACGCATGTGAACCGAACATGCCGTACCGAAACGGTTCGGTCCTAATATCTATCTATCTATCTATCTATCTATCTATCTATCTATCTATCTATCTATCTATCTATCTATCTATCTATCTATCTATCTATCTATCTATCTATCTATCTATCTATCTATCTATCTATCTATCTATCTATCTATCTATCTATCTATCTATCTATCTATCTATCTATCTATCTATCTATCTATCT